TTACAACGTTGATATCCCATATGAGCACTTGTTCAAGTCCCACTTGCTCCACTTCCAATCCAGCTTCCTGCTAAGCATCTGGGAAAGCAGGGAAAGATACCCCAAGTGCTTGGTCCCCTGCCACCCATGTGTGATGTTTCAAGCTCCTGGCTTTGGCCTGGCCCAGCCCCAGCCATTGCAACCATTTAAGGAATGAACCAGCAGATGGAAGGGCTCTCCCTCTCTCTTTGTCTCTCCCTCTCCCTATGTAACTCTGCCTTTCAAATAAGTAAATATTTTAAAAAATTAGAATCAAAAGATTTCCTCTTGATCAGAGATGATGTAAAGTGTTTCGGTAAGCAGAAAAGGTACAATCTTAGGGATTTGATATAGATAAAACTTATTACCTATATATAATCATCTGGGACTCATTGAATTATAAGATAGACTTTCTTTCATTGGATATTAAAAGAGCTGAACTGTCAAAAGTGGTGCATATGAGAGTTATTAATACATTGCCAGGCACTACATATAAATTTAGCAGTTAAGATGCTTATGCTTTCCTCTTCTGATGGTAGCTTTAATTATATTGGTGTTGCATTGACCCATTTAATTAAATGTTTTTTAAATTTATTTATTTGACAGGTAGAGTTATAGACAGTAAGAGAGTGACAGAAAGGTCTTCCTTCGGTTGTTTCACTCCCCAAATGGCCGCTACGGCCGGTGCTGCACCGATCCGAAGCCAGGAGCCAGATGCTTCTTCCTGGTCTCCACGTAGGTGCAGGGGCCCAAGCACTTGGGCCATCCTCCACTGCCCTCCCGGGCCACGGCAGAGAGCTGGACTGGAAGAGGAGCAACCGGGACTAGAACCTGGCGCCCATATGGGATGCCAGCGCCACAGAGGATGAACCAAGTGAGCCACGGCGCTGGCCCCGACCCATTTAATTTGACTAGTAAATATATATGCCTTTCCATTTTCATAGCTACATTTTGTCTTTGTCTTTAGAGTCCATTGCTTTAGACTGATTATTTCCTCAAGTTTCCATATTATATTTGCCCCTATACATTAGAATGCAGTGATTAGACTCTTCACCCAAATGGTCATATTTGCCAGGCTAGGCCAGGCCGAAGCCAGGAGCTTCATCCAGGTCTCCCACTTGGGTCCAGGGGCCCAAGCACTTGGGCCATCTCCCGCTCCTTCCTGGGAGCATTATCAGGGAGCTGGATCAGAAATGGAGCAGCCAGGACTTGAACTGGTGCTCATATGGGATGCCAGTGCTCCATATGGCGACTTAACCTGCCAGACCACAACACTGGCCCCAACTCCATACATTTTAACAACCATGTTGCTGTTTCTTCCGCGTGCCCTTCAAATTCAGCCATCACATTGCAATGGCTAGTCCTGGTCTCAAGGCCATTTTTATCTATACTACATATTCTTTACCTCCTTTGAAATCCATCTTGCATTTCACCTCAGTGCTTATGCTGTGATTCACACTTTACCAATTTGATTCTGACTTGTTGAATGAATATTTGTCATCAGTAGGTTTATAGGCAAGGACAGTGTTTTCTCAGTCTTTTATATCCTTCCAGAATACCTGCTTTGAGTGCTAAGGCTTTGATTTGCATGCTAGAAAATAGAGAATATACTATATTTAAGTGCATTTAGAAAGTCATTTTGTAAGCTCCCTTGGGAAACGATATAGATAATATATCTAATAATGTAGCAAATCAAATTATTGCTAACTAACTTAAGTTGTGCTGTTGAATAAATCTAAAAAGTATAACATTTTTTTTAAATGTTTCTTCCCTGTATAGTGATGGAGAATAACTGATTTCTCACTGCTGCAATTAGTAGTCAGTCACCTTAATAGTCCCTGATGCGTGTGACAACATACGGGTTTTCTTCTATGTTGTACCTGTGTTTTTGCAAAGTGATTAAATCTAATTATGTGCATTTAAAATTGATTTTTCATGCCAAGTCTGTAACCAAACTTTAGCCCACCCAGATCCATCATTATGAGGAAAAATCACAGGTCTGTGTGTGTATGTGTACCCAGATAATAAAAAAGAAATCTTGCACATGCCCCATTTTCTCTTACTATGTTTTTCTTTTAAGAGTTATTTATTTATTTTGAAGAGCAGAGTTATAGAGAGGGAGAGACAGAGAAACCTTTGAACCATTGGCTCACTCCCCAAATAATTGCAATGGTCAGCTGTAGGCCAGGCTGAAGCCAGGAACTTCATCCAAGTCTTCCATGTGGGTGGCAGGGGCCCAAACCCTTGGGCCATCTTCGACTGCTTTTCCCAGGCCATTAACAAGGAGCTAGATCAAAAGTGTAGCAGCTGGGACACAAACTGATACCTATGTGGACTGCTGGCATCTCAGTCGGTGGCTTTACCCTTTATAGTACAATGCTGGCCCTCTGCTGTGGTTTTTTTGAAGGTAATGTATATAAACCTTTGTCTAGTTACAGATGTCAGTGGTTCATGATAAAACAGGAACAACATGAAGGATTTAGTAGGTCCCATCTCCCATGATGCAAGACCAGTATTTAACCAATGATCTTTCTGTGACATTTGCAACATGCCATTTGTCAACACGTTAGCAATACAGCAGGACTGAGAGTTTAGTGAAATGTGTGTAAACAGAAGCAGTCATGATCTAAGAGGAGAGACTATATATTTTAAGAGCATATGAGAGTAAGTGTTGCATTTTTTTTATGAAGCAGTTCTTTCAAAAACATCTTACTGGTTCTGACTGTTGTTTTATTGATTATTTTTTGGTTTAAAGTCCACCTGCCTGAAGAAGGTACTTTGAGAAGAACTTTCACTTAGCCTTTCTTCATGTTGTCACAGTGGGCCTGTACTCCTACTTATATAAAATAACTTTGCTAATGCCATCCACTTTCTGTATGTTAAAGTATACTTGACAGAGCTTTTAAATTTTATTTCTTTGAATTGTAAAATCTGTTTTTGTCTTTAGAAAGTCCTTATGTGTGCAGTGATTTTTTTTTTGATAGCATAAAGTATAATTTTTTTTTGTTTTTGTTGTTTTTCATTTTTATACTTAGTGGCTTAAATTTAAGACCTAGAATATTAGTTCTTCAATGAAGATTTCTGTTGTTTAGTGTCATACAGCCTGTGTTGTGAGGAAAGGGTGAAGTTGGTATGTAAGCATAATTTAGAAAATGAAATTCAGAAGTCTCAAGTATAGTGTATGAGATCTTTTGGAAATATTGAGATTGTCCACTTAAGTGTAAACAGCAGCTTGTGTCACTCTGTTGTAACTCAGAAACCTGAAATGTAATTGATTCATTATATCTTGGCTGGAAGAAGGCTGTTAACAGTGTTGGTTTTGGACATAAAGGAAATCTGATAATACAACCTTGTCTATGTTTATCCAACACTGTCTAAAAAAGAAACAGGGACTGCATCTGACAGTCAGTAATAGCAGGCATTAGGAAAACATTTGCTGTGCTTCGTTTCTTACCTTAACCCTCTATGCCATCAAAACAGCTTTTGCCAAGATCATTAGTGACCCTGCATCTAAACTCAGTAAATGCTTATGACTCTCATCAGCATGACCTCTGTGCTGCAGCAAGCAGAGTTGACACCTTCCTCCTCCCTCTTCCCCTGAATGTTTCACTTTGTCCTTCTAGTACTTTTTCTATACATTTAATAAATTTGAAAAGTTGGCATTGTACCATGTTTGTATTTTTATTTTTTAAGTTTATTTATTTATTGATTTGAAAGGCAGATTGATAGGAAGAGAAAGATAGAGAAATCTTCCACCCACTGATTCACTCCCAAAATAGCCGCAATGGCCATTCGGGTCCAGGCTGAAGTCAGGACTGTGGAACTCTTTCTGAAACTCCCAGGTGGGTGGCAGGCACCCATGGACTTGGGCCATCCTCTGCCACTTTTGCAGATGCATTAGTCAGGAGCTGGATCAGAAGCAAAGCAGCTGGAACTGGAACCAGCTCTCAATATGGGATGCTGGCATCACAGATGCTTAACCTACTACACCACAATAGTGGCTCAGCCATGTTTGTCCTCTTAAATCTTATTTAACATTTCTACATGAACATTAGTGGATATTGTATACCATATCAGAATATTAAAACTTGTAAAGATTGTAAAAGAAATGTTCATTTTGAAAGCTAGTGTTTGTATAAAACATTAAGTCATAAGGAAGCATAACAGTAGACACAAGTCCTATATTTTACAGGTTACTTATCATTAAAAGACTAAGGATGGGCAACACTGAATATTACTGAAATAAATGAGGAGAATGTGACCTTAGTAAAGTCCTTGGGACCTATAGGTCTCTGTTCTTGTCAATCAAATAACAGGGCCATACTTTAATCTCTGAAGTCTCTTCCAGTGTAAGATTCTGTGACTTGTGAATTATGTGGTCAGAAGGCTGCATCAGATTTTTCTCTGAATCATATTATTTGCTCTACAATTGTGATTTTTATTGATTATGGTATACATATATATTAAAATTAATTTTTGAAGCAGTCTTTCACTGCTTTATTAAATTGTTTGTCATGTGGCATAGTTTTCCTTCTAGTGAATCTAAATGCCTGTTTTGTGAATTTATCTAATTTTGTATTTATATAGATCATAGGGTCTATAATAGCTATAGTTTATGATTTTTATTTGCATTTGAATGCATCTCATTCATAGTAATTAAGAATTATGTAGCTTACTTTAAAATATGAGTATGAATACAGAAAAATCCATTGTTAAATAGTTTATATGTAAGTAAAAATGTAATTAAAAATACATCCTATAATGATCTAGTGTCAAATTAAAATTTCACATCTTTTTCCCGTTGAATTCAGTAACTTTTGATGTTAGTTGCTTCTTCCTAATGTGAATTCTGAGTCCTTTTTGTAAGTTAAAATTGTATATTAATACAGACATTGACAAGATTGTTCCACGAGTGCATTAATTTAGTTAAGAATCAAGTCACACATTTTATTTACTTAAGCCCATCTGCACTTATTTTACAGTAACATATTTGGTCTACGGCCTGTGGATTATACAGACAATGAAAATATGAAATCACTATTGCTGCTACCAGAGAAGAATGAATCATCTTCAACTAGACATGGCTTGGTAGTAAGTATGGATTTAGCTTTGGGATATTTATATCTTTTATTGAAATGCTTTATGAAAGGAACATAATGGAAAAATTTCCAGTTAGCAAATTGCTTTTCATTCACCAAACAATTATTGAGTACTTCCTAAGTATTAACTACAGTGGATTCCCAGACATAATCAGAGAAAGACTATCAAGCAGTATTTATTGAGCTGCCTCTCTCCGTTAGGCAGCATGTACACACAATGCCTGTGACTGCTAGGACTCTTATTCTCCAGTAGCTTACCTTCTGGTGGGAGGTAGGAAAGAGATAGACTGTAAATATGTAAACTAATATTCAGTAACTTCATGAACTTTAGAAGTGATTGCTTTAAAGATTTTTTAGAGCATAGCTGGATGGAGGTGGCATGCTCCTGAAAGGTACTGGTGTAGCTCAGTTCACTGTGGGAGGCCTCTGAAGGACTGATAGAATTAGAACCAGGATGCTGCAGGGGAGCAGCCGGCTGACCTGGAGGACTCTGGTATATAGACCAGTCAGTGGATGAGCGTATTTGAAGTTTAGAAAGTTCCTAAAGTGAGTATCTAAGAGTAATGGGAAACCATTGGAAGGGTTTCAAGCAAGGGAATGATATGCTTCATTTTTGCTGTAGAACATTCAGTCTGGCTGTTTGTAGAAGAGTGGCTGTGGGGATGAGGGCATCACATAGGGCTGTTTTTACGGTGACAGTAGAGGAATACCATGATCACCTGGTTTAAGGCAGTAGCAGAGGAGATGATGACAAGTAATGAGGGTTAGTATATATTTTGAGTTATACCATCAGGACCTTCTAGTAGATTATTATAATGACAGCAGTGTAGTAGATGGTGGTACCATTTGCTGCTAAGTGGAAGAAATCAGTGGTTCTGCATGCCATTTCTATGTCTGTAATACAAAAAGTAGTGATGTTTGAGCAGGTAGTTGTGTGTGTAAAGCAATCTGAGAGGAGAGGTACAAGCTAGAGATAGAATGGAAAGAATGACTGTGCCTTAGAGACCCACGGTTTAGTAGAAAATACAGTTGTAAAAAATTGTCTACACATTGTGTTATGTTTACAAAACGAAGCCAACTTCAGGTAGGGATCAAGGAGAACTTCATGGAGAAGGTGTCAGAGATGTCTGACTCTAAGGGAAAAAATTTTAGCAAGGTGTCTAATACAATGTCAGTGTTGATCAGCTCTGCCATTGGTTAATTCAGCAGTTAGTGAGTGAGTGCACCAGAACCCAAATCTTTCTCTGTTTATACTTGGCCATCCTTCATGTGGTGGTTTTGTCTTCATTCATCTCCCCTTTGTGGTTATTGGATATTTGCCACAAGTCCAGATGTGAAAATGGCCAGCCAAAAAAGAGGCAGGAAAGCCTTCCATAGAAGGCTTGGTGTGGACTTTTCCTGTCTCATTGATCATACTGGTTGCAGATTGGTTTTGATCACACCAGGGTGGAGATAGAGTGACTACCTGAACAGAATTAGCCTTCTGTGAGTGTGGAGGAAGTGAGGAGTGGACTTCATATGGATAACCAGCATTGTCCACTGTTGTCAGGTATACCAAGAGGGCCTACCAGTTTAAATCTCAGGAACAGCTGCTCAGCGATGAGGTGGCATAAAGAACCTTAGACATTTGAGAAACTCGAGTTTAGTGTGAGAGGAGTGTGTTAAAGAGGAATCCAGGGTAAAGAGCTTGGTTTGAATCAGACTGTGAAAGGCCTTAAATTTCCTGATGAGGAGTTTCTACTTCATGGGGCCCTTCAATGTGTTTGTAACTGCAGTGGGACTGTTGTAAGGGACAGCGGGGAGTGGGGTGAGCCTGAAGGCTGACTGGGAGGCTGCTATAAGAGCCCAGGTGAGAAATAGTGAGCACTGGAATTGCAGCTGGTCTTAGCGAGGGGAGGATGGAGAAAAGAACAGGAGTTGGAGGCATGTGCAGAGGCAACAGGGAGAAGACTGACTGTATCTTAGTAACTGTTTAGGCAGGAGGAAGTAAAAGAAAGGAATGAGCTGAGGTCCAGTCTCATTCAGAGGCTTCATGTCTAGCAAGGGCAGTGAAGTACTGATTGATGGCATTAGTTACAATAAGGAGTTAGCCAAAGGTAATTAGAATTTCATGCACCAGCGAAAGGAGGTTAGAATTTCATGCAGTCCTGGGTGCTTTTATAGGTAAGTTACCCTTAGACTTTGAAAACCCTTTATCTCTTGCTTTAGACTTCAGCCTTATAAATGTGTCCCAAACTAAAAGAAAAGAAAAAAGAGAAAAATTAATAATGTGTTAGAAGAGAACCTTGAAGTCAGCAATTGAATTTCCTCATTTTACAAATGCGAAAAGTAAGACCTAGAATGGCTGTGATTGCCCAGAATTACTAACTAGGCATAATTTTTTAAAAGTGTATTACTTAGAACTCAGATTTCTTAGATCTCAGGTCAGTCTTCATTTAGTTCCACCATTTTTATAATATAAATTGATGCTTATTTTATTCATTTGTTCTTGAACTCTCCTGGCAGAACATAACATGACTACATTGTTATTTGACCATGTTCCTTTTATGTAAAAGCTGGAGAAAGATTATTTTAAATGTGTCAAAAGTAGAGATATCTTAATTTTTTTAAAGAACCATCCATTTATTTGAAAGGCAGCGTTACATAGAGTCAGAGGCAGAGAGAGAGAGAGAGATCTTCCATCTGCTGGTTCACTCCCCAAATGGCTGCAATGGCAGAGCTGAGCCAATCCAAAGCCAGGAGCTTCCCCTGGGTCTCCCATGTGGGCACAGGGTCCCAGGCACTTGGGCCATCTTCCACTGCTTTCCCAGGCTATAGCAGAGAGCTGGATCTGAAGTTGAGCATCTGGGACTCAAATCCTGTGCACATATGGGATCCTGGCTCCGCAGGCGGCGGCTTTAACTGCTATGCCACAGTGCCGGCCCTGAGATATCTTTATGATATTCTTAGAGTTTGAGGAGGATAGTTCCCTTCAGAAAAGGGTTTCACTAAGGAACTCAATACTTTCTGCTCATTATATGAATTGCTGTTGATTATTATTTACTGTTTTAATGGTTGATACTCGGCTAAGGAAAAGATAATGAACGATATCAAATCCTTGTACGTTGAAAGATGAGCTCTTCGTATGCAGCTCTGAACGTGTAAACTCTGAGATCCCAGCCACAAGCAGACTCCACTCACTCTGTCACCTGTGCTGCCTTGCTGTGTCTGGAATGCACCAAACATGCTCTCATTTCAACTCCTTAGCCTTAGCTATCTTTGCTCACAGGACAAATAGGGGACCCGGATGTTGTCCTGGCCGCTTCCTCATGCCCTTCAGATCTGTCAGTGCTGCTTCACCCCTTCCTCTGCCCTCCCACTTGGCATCTGGCGTCATCTACATTTTATTTGTGATTTTGCTCTCAAATAGAATATAAACTCTGTGAGGTCAGGGACTGATTTCTTGTTTACTGCAGTAGTCTCAGCATTGAGAACAGTGTCTGGCAACCACAAGTGCACCAAAAATGTGTGTTGAGTGCATGAGTGAGCACTGGAGTGCCCTGCGTGCCACGTGCTCATCCTGGAAACAAGCACAAGTGTTTGGTAGCTGGAAGCTGAGTCTGGAATCCTCAATGCAGTGATTTCTAAGCTCTTTGGAAGGGCTGCTTCAAAGAACTTCATACAGAGGGGAGGGTGGATGAGGCTTAATTCCTTCTACTTCGATTTTGAATTTTTTGTTTGTTTCGATTAAAGTTTATAGGCTGTCAGAAAGTATTGCTTTGAATTTGAGAAGCAACCTCTAAAAGACTTTACAAGCTGCTTGCCATACTCATTTTGCAACTTCTGTGCTTATCCCTTATGAGCAGTATGTTTGTCCATTTATTCTTTCATATTTTTTAAACTCTGTTTTTGATAAACTCATTAATGAAGAATCTAAAATTTTTACCTAAGAAAAAATACTGTGTTAAATTATTTCTTAAGAGTTTCTTTATGATTCTGAGACCTCTGCACATTCAAATCCAATCCCCAGACCCCAGTCTGCCCTACCCCCTCAAACATGTGGCTTTGACAGCTGCTTCCTTTCTATTTTATTATGGCACTTCTTAACTTCAAGAAATTAGTGCCAGTTCCTTTAATGCAAATTAAGAAACCATGATAGGAAAATGCTTGACCCATTTTGGTGCTTTCCTTGTAGAAATAGTATCATATGCTATCTTTAGAAATGATACCTTTTCACTCTTGGGTTTTGTGCAGAAAACTAAGGTAGTTGAGGTGTAATAAATTGAGAAGAAAGTGTTCTGTTTAGAGCTATTTTTATGGCACTTATTTATGTAACAGGCAATAATTTTTAAAATAGTGTTTTTTAAATAATATAGTAATTGAATAATCCATAAGGTAGACTCAATTTATTTTCATGTTATGAAAGTGTTTAGGTTTGATGACTTAGTATCTAGGAAAGATCCATATACAGAAATACGTGTGTGACATGGGCATGGGTATGTAGTGTACATAGCATGTCCAGAGAAACATTTGCTACATGGGCCGTAGAGGAAGAAGTGATTCTGATAGCAGAACTTTGAAGTACTGAATACTATGGAAGTCTTTTAAAAAGTGTCTTGTATCATTTGCTTAGTACATAGCAGACTCTAATATATTTTGAGTGAACAAATCACAATGTTCATTTTGTTTATGGTTGTAGTCAGTGATCTCGATATAATAAATGTAGTTGTCAGACTGAATAAATTAAATTATCACTGTTCTGATATGTCTATATGATATATCTGCTATGAATGTTTAAATACCACCTCTGTCCTGCCTCATTGTTAATCGATGCTCGTGTGCATCCTTCCATTCTTTTCCTCGTGTTCTTTGGAGGTTTTGAAAACCCAGATAGATATCTAGTGTATCTATGTACATACATACATGTGAAAGCACTATGTTGTGTGTTTAAAAACGAAAGTGTTGTTTATACTTTTATCCTTTGATAAAGTAATGCTGATTTACTTTTTTTTCTTCTTTGCTGGAGTGTTGCTTGTCTTTTATTAGATAACTTTTGACTAACTTTCACTGTAATTCCATTTATTAAATTTCTGTTGACTGCTGTTGTAGTCACTATCTCATTGCTTCTTTGAATCTTTCATGCCATCCATCGTCCATCCATGCCTTCCCTTTATTTCTATCCTTTTTTGTCTCTTGTAAGTTCCAAGTCTGAATATTAAAATAAAAATGTTCATCTTTGTTAGAGCACTTCTTTCCTTCTCATGAGCTACTTGGACTTCTTAGTGTTTTTGAATCTGACCTCTGATTTTGAATTCTTCTGTCTGTTTTCATCTGGTCTTTGTTTTGAGAGGTTGCTTTTTAGATGATTAAAAAGTTTGTTCTCTTAGTTTAGGATCAACATTGTTCTGGAAGCCTTGATGCTCCCTACTTTTCCAGATAATCTCAGTTAAATCAAACAGAACAAGTGCGAATTCAACTATTGGAATAAGTTAGTGGAAGAGAGATAGAGAATTGATCATTTTAAATCAATATCTTGAGGTATTTGAGGGAAAGAAAGAGCTCATTGATGACAGAATGAAATTATAAGACCCTAGAGAGACTCAATTCCCATGAAGGAAACAACATGCCCTGGGTATGGAGAGCTATTCCAAGTAAAATTTTTTTGAGGGACAAAAAAAAATAATAATTATTCAAAATTATTGAACATCAGGTACTGAATGCAGATTCGGTGGGAACTATTGAGAATTAGCAGAAGACAAGAAATGAAATTCAAGTTTTTATCAAGTAAAAATATGTTTAGTATCTTTCTCTAGTCTTTAAAGTATTTTTATTTTAAAGCACTTTCAAAAGTCCATATATATTGGCCGGTGCCGCGGCTCAATAGGCTAATCCTCCGCCTTGCGGCGCCGGCACACCAGGTTCTAGTCCCGGTCGGGGCGCTAGATTCTGTCCCGGTTGCCCCTCTTCCAGGCCAGCTCTCTGCTGTGACCTGGGAAGGCAGTGGAGGATGGCCCAAGTGCTTGGGCCCTGCACCCCATGGGAGACCAGGAGAAGCACCTGGCTCCTGCCATTGGATCAGTGCGGTGCGCCGGCCGCAGCGCGCCAGCCTTGGCGGCCATTGGAGGGTGAACCAACGGCAAAAGGAAGACCTTTCTCTCTGTCTCTCTCTCTCACTATCCACTCTGTCTGTCAAAAAAAAAAAAAAAAAAAGTCCATATATATTAATATATATGATTATTTAGGCAGTGGGACCAAGGATTTGATAGCTGGTGCTGAGAGAAAACCCCTGATTGTGTTTTGGCAGTTGTTACTAAGTGGGGCAGAAGGGAAAAAGATGTTGTTAACACTGTGGCATCTCCATTTTCATTGACAGTTGAACACTGGGCATCGTAGGGATAGACCTCTTATACTTATAGGCAGTGGACTTTCTTCAGAACAGCAGAAAATGCTCGATGAGCTTGCAGCAATTCTTAAAGCCAAAAAATGTACGGAGTTTGACAGTACAGGTAAAGATTTTGAATTTTTTTTAGTGGAAAAAATTTTAAATAGGTAATAATTCCCTTTGATAATTTATACATGTTTTAACCATTGATATATGGCTATATACCTTGCATCTTGTAATAAATCTGAAACATTTTTACAGTAATAAACCACTTAATAGTCTTAATGTAGTTAAGAAATGTAAAATTTAAAGCCTTGCACATATTTTAAGAGCAAATTTATGAGTTTGTTAGTGACAAATAAATTGTGGTACTGTGTAATGTCATAATTCCTTAGTTGTAATTTGAAAATAAAAGAAAAATTTGAGTTTACTAATGTGACCTTGAGATACATGGTTTATGATCTGATTTTTCTTATAGATGGCACATTAGAAAATGATACTAAATAAATCTTATACTTACTGCCTTTGAAGAAAATTCAGGTTTAAGTTTATAAACTATGCACTAACTGGTTATAAAAAGCCAGACTAATTAAAGAATTATTCTCCTTTTCCTATATTCTAGTAACTCATGTCATTGTTCCTGGTGGCACACTTCAAAGTACCCTGAAGTGTATGCTGGGAATTCTCAATGGATGCTGGATCCTAAAATTTGAATGTAAGTATTGGATTCGAATAGTTGTATTGTGAATTAACCAGATTTGTTTCATTTTCATAGTGTGTTACTCCCTTTAAATGAGGAACTTAGGCTTATTTTCCTTACCTTTGTTAGTTACTGCATTTTGAAGAAGCATCTCATATCAGTGGTATCATCTGAGTAAATTCCCACAACAGATCTATGAAATGAAAGTAGCTCATTGTTTTCCCTGTAAGACTGGAAAAATGCTACCTGTGAAACATACTGTTACTGTCATAGCTGAATCAGTAGTTTTAAGAAACTGTTGGGAAATTTAGACTGCCTGATTTGTAGTGAGTACACTATTATCTCAATTTTGCTTGGAAATGTGTCCCTCTTTTCTTCTCGTAGGAAGTCAAATACTACCACCTTACAAACCTTCTTTTACCTTCCCTACTATTACTTGTTTGCTTTTCTTAACCTAGAATTTGTTTAAGATTTACAATAGAAAGAAAGTGTTATTGTGTAAAGGTTAGTTTGTTGATATGATGCTATAGTTATAGGAAGTGTTAAAATTAGATACTGGTGGAAGGTTTTCTGGGACTTCTCTGCATTCTTTGTAATCTCTAGTAACTATAATAATATGTAATTAAAAAGTTATAAATGAATAGTCAGTGTTTTTATTGAAACTTTTTTATTGAGAAGCAATGGTAGATTAAAATTCATTTTTACAAAAACCCGGCTTTTATGGCTTTGTGCTTTGAAGGTTTAACAGTAGAATACTTGATCGATCAATATCTTAATTATGTAACTAATCTGTGGTTCGATGACTCAGTTATATTACTGTTTCTATTCTATTTGGTGTTCATGTCCCTTTCCCTTCTGTTCTTGTGATGCTGGTTTCCACTGATACCCTGTGCTCCAGCTAAGTGACCATGACTGACAGTGCCACTCCACCTGTTCACATCAATCTCTCATTAGTCCCTCCTGCAAAAAGTTTGAGAAGTTTGGTGAATAATTGAACTGATTGATCATTTATACTTGGGAGAAAAGTTTCTCTTCTTGTCTCTCTTATTTTTGAACTTTCTTTTCTCTTTCAAATCTATGGAACCTCAATGTTCACAAAACTCATTTAAAATGCTTCCATGATTATGGATGCCTTTGTATTGAACCTGTGCCAGAGACTTTATGAATGGTCAGAAAGAAATAGATTTTCATAGTAATAAGGTCTCAGCAATAAAGAAGCACGTGAAATTTTGAATGTTAAGACATTTACCACTTCACTTCGAGTCTTATCCTTATGAATATGTGAACTGGCATTTCATTACATATACAGTCCACATGATTCATTTCTGTAAAAATCTACCTTCTTCAAGAGATGTAAGGTTTGTCACTTTAATGGCTTGGGCATTTCATTTTTATAGAATCACTGATGGACTCAAGCTGATTTAATAGTGTGCTATTTGATGATTCTCACAGTAGTGAATAACACCCTCTAATATATATGATTATTTTAGGATAAAGGATGGATGGATCCTCTTCTTGAAGTTCATATCCTCATATCTTGTAATATATCATCCACAGAGAAATAAGTTCAAAGTTTGAGATAGGATTTTATATGGTTGCTGTATTTGTGAAAAGAAGTCAAGAACCCAGAAATACTGTTTCTTAATATGTATGAATATTACTTTCACATTTTCTGCATTACTCTCAGTGTCAGGCATCTCAATTTGATTTTTCTTTTTAAAGATGTATTTGTTTATTTGAAAGTCAGAGTTATACAGAGAGAGGAAGAGACAGAGACAGAGAGAGAGAGATCTTCCATCTGCTGGTTTACTCCCCAGATGGCTGCATTGGCCAGGGGACAAGAGCCAGCTTCTTCCAGGTCTTCCATGTGGGTGCAGGGGCCCAAGAGCTTAGGCCATCCTCGTCTGCTTTGCCAGGCATATTATCAGGGAGCTGGATCTGATGGGAAGCAACCAGGACTTTCTTAGGTATTTTCAGTTATGTATGTAAAGTATCTTGCAATGCCAATTTATGGGCTTAGCATGAATATTCTAACAGGGCTTCAGTGAATACAGTTGAACCAGCCATTGTGTCTTGTCAAATTTATTTCGCAGAATTATATTTATATTACATTTTACAGGAAGAAGAGAGCTATAGATACCTTCATGATCAAATTTGAGGTCGAGACTTTGTTTTTGATGAAAAATATTTGGAAATCCAGAGGGGCCGGCGCCGTGGCTCACTTGGTTAATCCTCTGCCTGCAGCACCGGCATCCCATATGGGTGCCAGGTTCTAGTCCCGGTTACTCCTCTTCCAGTCTAGCTTTCTGCTGTGGCCCAGGAGGGCAGTGGAGGATGGCTAAAGTGTTTGCAAAGGCCCCACACCTGTGTTGGAGACCAGGAAGAAGCACCAGGCTCCTGACTTCAAATCCGCTCAGTGCCAGCCATAGCAGCCATTTGGGGAGTGAAGCAACCAAAGGAAGACCTTTCTCTCTGTCTCTCTCTCACTGTCTATAACTCTACCTGTCAAATAAATAAATTTAAAAAAAGGAAATCCAGAATACAAAAGTTCTTGAAAAAGTTTATGAAAAATGTGTATTGTAGAAAACAGTGCTCAGATTTCAAAACAATTTCTGTAGCAAAATAAGCTTATCTTTTAATTATATATTTCCATAAACGTTTAAAGGACCTTTGTTCAAAAATCTTATAAAAAAGATTTTTATACCTAAGTTTTATCTAAGATAATTTTATCATAAACTTTTCTCAAAGAATTTGACTTGTTTCTCAATATGCATTAAGTAAAATAAATCAATTCAATGTATCATCATATGAAGACATATGTTTTCAACAAGTGTTGGTTTAAAAGCTAGCCAAAATAATAATACGTGTTTTAATATGAATTCACAAAATTTAATGCTCTGTGTCAGTATTTTCTGTGATACCCCAAATGTAGATGTATACGATGGTATGAGTAGAATATTCTGTTATGTTACATTTATATTTTCAGCCTTCATTTCAATGTCTTTTTACTCTTTGCTGTGAAATTTTGTAAACTGGGCTTGTTGCTTTAGGGTTTTATTCACAACTCAATTTTTAAAAACTACAATGGTTTTATAAGTTGTTTTTCCATTTTTGTCAGTGTGGTAGAAGGTTTCCTATGGTGCTTTTCCTTTTATTTAAAATTCAATATTATCATAGTCTATGTTATTAAAAAAAACCTAATATAAAACTTCTGCAAAAATACTTTTATATTGAGTGATTTTTTAATAGACACAGAAAAGAAATTCTGCAGTGTTTATTTTAGTTAGCTACTGCTAAATTTGAGTGGCATAAATTCCTAGTTTGGATCTAACAACATATTTATTAGGGCTTCCAGTTTTGACATAGAGTGATGTTTGATTCTACATTTTAATTTTTTAAACAACATTTATTTGACTGAGAGTGTAATCATTCTGATTTTTAGTGCTGTTTCACTTACAAATAGCCTGTAGCTCTAGAATAGCAGTTCTTCAAAATATAGATTTGTACTGTATGCTAGCTTTTGAAAAGTGAGGAAATTCAATTGCCTTTTATGTAGGTAACCCTTCTTTGGACATTAACAGATCTTCACCTGGAAGCTTAATTCTGTCTTAATCATATTCTCTAATTATTTGTGTATAACTATTTATTCAAAAATACTTTTTTCTTACCTTCAGTCAATTCTATGACCATTTTTCCCTGTCTAGAGAATGATATAGTGAAGAAGTTTAATATAAAACCATGAGCATCATCAAGGTTTATAAAACTAAAATGACAACATATATCCATTGATGTATATATATTTTTTGAAAGATTTATTTATTTGAAAGGTAGAGTTACAGAGAAAGAGGGGAAGACATAGAAAGATCTCATATCTACTGGTTTACTCCCCAAATAGCCACAGTGGTCAGAGGCCTGTGCTAAATCCAGGAACCTGGAATTCCATCCCATATGGGCACCACTTCAAGTCTTGGTTGCTCCTCTTCTAATCCAGCTCCCTGCTAATACTCCTGGGAAAGCAGCAGAGGATGACACAAGTACATGGGCCTTATCCACTCACTTGGGAGATCTGGAAGAAACTCCTGGCTTTGGCCTGGCCTAGCCCTGGCTGTTTTGGTCATTTTGGCTCAGTGAACCAGCAAATACAAGATATTTCTGTCTCTCCCTGTATAACTCTGTCTCTAAATAAATGTATCTTTCAAAATAAAAAAAAAAATTGAATGTGAAAAGCAAATATTGTTTGGTTTAATTTTAAGAGGTAGCTTTCAATGAGTAGTTAATAGTTTCTTGTTATCTTTATATATTCTGTTTTAATCTACTTAAATATATATATAATATGTTAATCCTTTATCAGTTGCATAGCTTGCAAATAATTTCTCCCATTCTGTCACTTGCCTCTTCACTTTCTTGAGTGTTTCTTTTGCAGTACAGAAGCTTCTTAAATTGATATAATCCTATTTTTTAATTTTGGCTTTGATTGCCTGTTCCTCTGGGGTTTTTTGTCTATGTTTATCAGGGAAATTGATCTGTAGTTCTCTTTCTTTGTTGTGTCTTTTCTGGATTTTGGGAGTATTCCCTCTGTTTTAGTGGTTTTGAATAACTTGAGAAGAAGTTAAGTTAGTTCTTCTTTAAATGTCTGGTAGAATTCAGCAGTGAAGCCATCTGGTCTTGTGCTTTCCTTTGTTGGGAGGGACTTTATTACTGATTCATTTTTCATCTTGATAATGGGTCTGTTTAGGTTTTTCTGTGTCTTCAAGGCTCAATTTAGGTAGATTGTATGTGTCCAAGAATCTATTCATTTCTTCTAGGTTTCCCAGTTTTTTGGCATATAGCTCTTTGTAGTAATTTCTGATAATTTTTTTAAATTTCTGTGGTATCTGTTGTTGCATTTCCTTTTCATCTCTAATTTCATTGATTTGGGTCTTCTCTCCCCTTTTCTTGGTTAGTTGAGCCAATGGTGTGTCAATTTTGTTTATTTTTTTAAAAAAACAGCTCTTTTGCTGATCTTTTGTATTTTT